CCCCAAAACCCCAAAACCCCAAAACCCCTTAATGGGTTCACCAGCTTGAATTTTTTCATAAATCCTGAACAATTAGAGCATAGGATAAGCACTTGGCTCATTCAAATATTTTCAAAATGAAAATGTTGTGATCCACCAAAAACTGTCAGAATTCCTGTAAGGAGTATTGTCAATACCATAAAAGGCAAATTTGAACTTGCTGAAGGATAGATTACCACTCTCAATGCAGAGTATTGCAGATCCCCAATGAAAAAGAATTGAGATATCAAGTTGCAAGTCTTAGAATTCTTATCAACTCGACCAAAAAATCCTTCCACAAATTCGGTCTTGACTCCATCTGCCCTGACTTCACTGTATGAATCCTGACCGTACAGAAAGAGTTTGCCAAGCTATCCAGCCAAGTCTGAACGGCTATTGCTAAGAGGGATTATAAGGAGTACGGAAATTACAGTGCCAGGCTTACTGAATTTAGAGCGTGTTTTTGCTCTGATTCGAGGATTTCGTATGTGATGGCTGAGTCGTTTCAGAGATCAGCACTTGAAAATATGCCGGAGATGGTAGGATCGTTAAGGGATTGTGCTGGGGGAGAAGGGAAGGAGGATAGAGGGGATCTTGGATGGAGTGAAGGGAATGAGGAGAGAGAAGAAGATAAGGAGGGTTATGTGTCCCGAGGTTATGGTGGAGACGGTGAGAGTCAAGATAAGGTGTGAAGTGTAGAAGAGACACCGGAGTTCGACCATTTTGTACAGAAGTACTTCCCTGATGTTGGATGGTTGGATAGGTTAGTGGATTTTACATTTTGGATGACGGATAAGACTCATTTTCACTTCATCCAAGAATGTATTGATAATAAAGTCATTCTAGCAAGATTTCCAAAAGTAAGATTTGTTATTGATTTTGATTGATGCCCTCTCTTGAAAGAATACATTGAAGTATGTGTCCCCGAAGAATTCTGTAATGAGCTAGTATTCGAGTCTAACTCCACAGATATTCAACTCCAATATAGTAGCTTCTCTGACTCAGTAGAGAAGATTCTTGAGAATCCTCCAAAGATTATTATATTCAAAGAAATTAGTTTTACTCATAATGAGCTTCGATCATTCCAAGAGAAGAGTGATTCTTCAGGACTGAAACTGAGACTTGAAAATTGAAGAATTGTAATGAGCGGAGAATATCTTGGCCACAGGATCACTGATGAAGAAAAAAGAAATACTGATTAGATACAGTCAGTCACTCTACTATCCGATAATTTATTCAATATCTATAAACACAATCGGGGTTTTGGGGTTTTGGGGTTTTGGGG